CATGTGGGATAAATAGAAAATAATGCAAGATGGTAGATTTACTCCCAATCAAACCAATAACATTAAATGTACATCAAAGGTAGAGATTTAAGACTGGATAAAAATGGAAGAGCCAATGACAAACTGCCTATAAAAAAACAAGTTAAATATAAAGAGAAATAGATGAAAAGGAGAAGTATGGAAAGAGGTATTCCATGCTGAAATGAATAGAAAGCTGAGTGGCACTATTAATATTGAATAAAGTAGACTTCAGGGAAAAGAATATTACCAGGGATAGAGGGTCATTTCATAACGATAGTGGAAAATTCATCAAAATGATAAACAATCCTAAACATTTATGTACCTAATAACAGAGCTTCAAAATACACAAAGCAAAATGATGATAGAGCTGAAAGGAGAAAGACAAGTCCCCAATTATACTCTGAGATTTCAATAACCTTCTCTCAATTACTGATAGAACAGCAGACAGAAAATCAGTAAGGCTATAGCATACTTGAACAATGCTATCAACAAACTTGAACTATGACACTGTAGAATATTCCACACAGAAACGGCAGAAAAGGCCTTCTTTTTAAGCACATATGAGAGATTCACCAAGACAGCCCTTGGTGTGGGTCATAAGACAAAGTCTCAATAAATTTGAAAGGATTCAAGTCATCCGAAGTATGTTCTCCAACCACAATGGAATTAAATTAGAAATAAAATCAGAAAGATCTCTGGAAAGTCCCAAATATTTGCAAACTAAAAAAACACATTTCTAAATAATCAAGGGGACATAAGAAATCAAAAAGGGAAGCTTGAAAATATTGTGAACTCAATGAAGATGAAAACCCAATATATCAAAATTTGTAAATTATATATCTAAAAGCAGTATATAGAGGAAAATTTACTGTACTAAGTGCACACTAGAAAAGCAGAAAGACTTCAGATGAATGACATTAACTAATTAAATCCAGCGTAAGCAGAAGAGAAATAATAATGGTCAGAGTAGAATCAATTGTATATCCTTCTGCAAAAAGAGAGTCAAGCCATACCTCACACTATATACAAAAATTAAATTAAATGGGTCATAGACTTAAATATAAAACCTACAACTATAAATCTTTTTAGAATAAAATGTAGGAGAGAATCTTTGTGACCTTGGGTTATGCAAAGATTTTTTAGATAACACTCACAATATGGTCCATAAAAGAAAAAAAATATGAATTGGACTTCATGAAAATTAAGAACATCTAATCTTCAAAAGACATTGTTAAGAGAAGCAAAACAAGCCACAAATTGTGGAGAAAAAATTGCAAATCACATAGCTGAAAAAACTGCATCCAGAATATATAAAAACTCTCAAAATTCAATAAAAAGACCAAAAAAACCCAAATGGCAAAAGACTGGAATATATATTTCATCAAAGAATATACACAGATGTCAAATAAACAAAAAGATGCTCAACATTATAACATCATTAGTTATTAGGGAAATGCAAATTAAAACCACAAGATACCACTGTGTACCTACTATAATGTATACTATTTAAAAAATGACCATACCAAGGGTTGGCAAGGATGTGGAGAAACTGGATCTCTAAGACACCACCGATGGGAATAAAAAATGGTAAAACCACTTTGGAAAACAGTTTGGAAAACTTTTAAACAGTTTTAAAAAGTTAAACACATAGCTACCATATGACTCAGGCATTCCACTCCTAGCTATTTGCCGAGAGGAATAAAAGCAGAAGGCCATACCAAGACTTGTACAAATGTGCATAGTAGCTTCATTTATAACAGCCAAATCCTTGGGGAAAAACCCCCGAAGTCTCTCAATAGGTAAATGGATAAACTGTGGTATTTACACAGTGGAATTCTATTCACCAATAAAAAGGAATGGACTATTGCCACGTGGATAGATCTCAAAAAAGCCATGCTGAGTAAAAGAAGCCAGATAAAAGTAGAGTATATATGATTCCATCTGTATCAACCTTTAGCAAATACAAACTAATCTTTAGGGACAGAGTGGGGATTGGGGTGTGGGTGCAAAGGGCTAGGTGGAGAGGATGACAAAGGGGCACCAGGAAACTCCAGGGGATGGTGGACATGTTTGCCGTCTTGACTGTGGTGATGGTTCCACATGTGCATACATATGTCGAAACTCACCAAACTGTACACTTTCAGTATGTGTAGTTTAATCTTTATTAATTATATCAAATAAAGATGCTTCAATACAAAATACCACACACTTTTTTTTGCTTCGTATTTTCTTGGCATAAATATTTCAGTCCTTTTATTTTCAACGTTTTAGGATTTTTTTTTTTTTTTTTGCCATGTGTCATGAGGGATCTTAGTTCCCCGACCAGGGATTGAACCCGTTGAGGAACTAAGATCCCTGCAATGGAAGTGTGGAGCCCTAATCACTGGACCACCAGGGAATTCCCTAGTATTCTTGTATTTTAGGTGTGTACTTTGTAAAACAGTCTAAAGCTAGATTTTACGTCATACAATGTGCACTTAATAAATACTGTGTGACTGTTCAATAAATGAATCCAGTCTGGTAATCTAAATCTGTGATTTAGTCTAAGAGTTTAGTTCATGTTCATTCTTTATGACATCTTTAAATTCATTTCTTTTTTGAAAAAAATTAATTAATTTATTTATTTTTGCTGTGTTGCTGCGCGCGGGCTTTCTCTAGTTGCGGCGAGCAGCAGCTCGGCTACTCTTCGTTGTGGTGTGTGGGCTTCTCATTGCAGTGGCTTCTCTTGCTGCGGAGCATGGGCTCTAGGCACGCAGGCTTCAGTAGTTGTGGACACGGGCTCAGTAGTTGTGGCGCACAGGCTTAGATGCTCTGCGGCATGTGGGATCTTCCCGGACCAGGGCTGGAACCCGTGTCCCCTGCACTGGCAGGCAGATTCTTAACCACTGCGCCACCAGGGAAGTCCCTGAATTCATTTCTAATACCTTATTTTATTCTTTCAATTTCTTCCATATCCCTACCTTCTCCCTTCCTTCTTTCCTCTCTTTCCCTCTCCCTGTTTTCTTTTTCCTTTCTCCCTCTTTTGCCTTCATTTATATAGATTTAAATTTTTCTTAACCCCTCTTTTCAACTTTTCCCCTTACTGGTTCAGAACTCTATTTTATTGGTAATTCTAAAAATGTTAACATGTATAGTTTAACTTAACCAAGTCTGAAATTACACAATGTAAAACATCTTTACTCTCTTACTGGTGAATAGAATTCCACTGTATAAATACCACAATTTATCCATTTACTTACAATATAAGGACCTCACTCACAGTGGCTTATTTCCTTGTGTGTGTAGCAGTTTCACATTTTATTCACCAAGTGGACACAAGTACTGTAGCATTTTAAGTTGAATTTTCAGACTGTAGTGGTAGCAGGCATTCCAGCTCCCTGATTGAGGCAGGGCTGATTGAGGTGAGGATTTCCTAAAGGAGGACTGGTTCCCTTCCCACCTTCTCTCAGAGCCAGAGCACAATAGGCCAGACTCCTCCCGCAGGGTGAGCTTTTCTCCCTTCCTAATTTGTCTAGTGAGGGTGTTGCCCTTCAGAAATTCCAGATTTATGAAGGGTTCTCCGATCTCATCTCCCACCCTCCTTAGGCACTGGGCTTGTAATAGGGAAGAACAAATCTGACTCCATATTAGATCTGTTTCTTTTGCTTTGCTGCCTGTGCTTAGTCATGCTGGCTCTGCACCTTTTGTAAAAGAATGTTGCCTATAGCCTGAACTATACAGGATAGCCTATTCTCAAGGTGCTGACCTTTAAGAAGGTCATTCTTATAAAGAAAAAATGTTGCAGAACAGAGAAAAGCATTTGTCTTGTTGGAGGTTTACAGGAACAGCCTAACCTGACCTACATGCACAGCTGCAAGAACAAAGGATTTCGACACCAAGAAGTTTGCAACAACTAACCACGCCCCTCCCTTACCTTGCCTTTAAAAATGCTTTGCTGAAACCGTTTGAGCAGTTGGGGGTTTTGTGGGCACAAGCTACCCACCTCCTTGCATGGCCCTGCAATAAACCTTTCTCTACTCCAAACTCCGAAATTTCCACGTGTTTGGCCTCACTGTGCATCGTGCACACGAACTTTCGATCGGTAACAGGTTTTGTCTCCTGACCCTCTCGTGTGTGGCTTTGGATTACTTCCTATACATTTTTAATTTACCAGAAATATTAAAAAGTTCACTATTCTCCAAGCTTTCTGGTTAACAGTGTGGCAACTAAGACTGCAGTTTTGGGGTTCAGAGTGTCTGCATTCAAACCAATACTCTACTACTTATTTCCTGTGGCTCTGGGCAAATTAACAAAAATCTCTGTACCTCAATTTCCTCACGTGTAAAGGGAGAGGCAATAATAGTACCTGTCTCCCAGTTATTGTGGGCCTTAAATACATGGATATATCTAAAGAGCTTAGGACTGCGTGTGGTATACAGTAAGAACTCAAACATTAGCTGCTATTACTGCTACTACTTGTGTGCTTAAAGAAAATGTCCTGAGGTTATATTGCACTCTATTCTACAAAGGGGTTGATACCTTACAGCATGAGTTTTCTTAATAAGCCATTTTCAGCTTTCATGTGACATTACGTAGCTTATTCATATCAGGATGTAAATAAACAAAATAACAAGTATTTGATATCTACCATTTATTTCTCTGTTTTTCTTCTTTTTGGGAAATATTCTCTCTTGAAGTTAGATCTCCAAAGTCTATTTTTCAATTATAAATTATTTTATATTCTGTTGGAATAGCAGATACTCCTACACAGAGAAGATTCTACCACTTAAACGTAGCATAACATTCTGTGTTTTAAGACAAAATGATGCCAACAGCTGGTTCATTTCAGCTAGAGTCAGAACACATCCGTACGTGTATGTCAAGCCCTGGAACCATCACTCATACCACATGGGCTGGCACTGCTCCACTAATGACATTTGAACACAATAAACTCCAAGTTCAAGTCTCCGCAGATAACACAGTTCACGTTTCTTAAATACCTGGCGAATGAAGCTTGGCGGCTGAAGCCGACATTCTCTTAGGAGATGAAACTGCAGGTTTATTAGCATCTTGATCTTTCTGTACTTCTTTCTTCGTTCCTATATACAGTTTAAAAAGAGAAAAAGAAACAAAGAGAGTTCATTACAATTGAAACAAACACAGATTGTTTGTGCAAAGGGAGGCTTAACAAAAGGCACAGAGAACAAAATAATATTTGGGTGATTTGTTGCTATGGTCACCACCCCCTGTGCTTCAGGAATGACACACTTGTTTATAGCAGAGGGAATTTCGTTTTGAGTGGTCAGAGGAATAAGTACACTGCTGTCTCTGATTTGATGAAAACCACCCCTATCTCTGGAGGTCACCGCACCCCAAAGACCCTGACAAACTATCTGGGAATTAAAATTGTGCTGTCCTCAGTCTGCCTGCCTCCTTCTGCCAAAACAAATTTTCATTACATGGAGAAGGAAGCTGTAGCCGAATCTAACTGCTAACGACTCCAGCATCATGAGAGTCGAGCCGCGGGGGACACAGTCTGCCTCTAATTAACTTCCACTCGTCCACCGAGGTGACCTGGACAGCCTCTGAGCTCTCTCTCTGCTGCAGCTGAGCCTTTGTAGAACCTGCTGGCAGAGCCGGCTGCAGCAGCACGGGACAGCCTGAGCTCGGGCCATGTCTAAGACCAGGCACTCAGGACACAGCACCGTTTCTCCCTTGTGTGCTGGGCACAGACCCTCCCCGTCACATCCCCTTCATCAGAAAGTCCAAGAATGATGGATGGAAGATCAGGAATAACGCCGACCTGGGTGTACCTAGACCCGTCTCCGCCTCAGCACAGTTTATTATGTCGTTTCAGAAATAAACCCTCGTGATGGTGATGGCTCCTTAGAAGCGGAACACAAACTTCCCACTTTGCCCCACGCCCTGCACCCTTACTCCTCTTCCAGAGGTAACCAGCTAGCAATTTGGCGTTTACGCTTCCAAACCTTCTTCTAGGTATTTTTAAGTATATCTACCCAAATACAAATACAGCTATTAATTAGCTAAATGCATCCCATACTGCAATTTCTTTTTACATATCCACACTTTTGAAGATCTTTTTCATATCAGTGCATTCATAGGTCTTTAAAAAAATGCCACATCATATTAATGGGCAAAGATGTACCATAATTTACCCATCCTCCTGTTGACGAACGTTTAGACTGTTTGCACGTGTTAGCTATTAAAATAGCTAAATGTGCTATAATAAACATACTTCTACTTGTTTCTTTGTACGCATGTACCAGTATCTTTACAGGATGAATGCACACATACACTTTTGCTGGATTAAGATCCTGCTCATTTGCAATATTACCAGACGCAGCCCAACTGCCCTCCATGAAAAGCTACTAAATTTACACTCCCAACCAGGTGTGCGAGGCCAGTTCTTCCTACACGCCCCACGCCCTACCGGCACTGAAGTCTCATCATTTCAATTTTTGCCAGACACTCGGAATCTTTTCAAATTGGTCATGGGCATTTCTTTATTTGAAAATTGCCTAATTAAACCCTCTGCCCATTTTTCTTACTGGTGTGTAGGAACTCTTCATTTCTGCTGGATATTAATCCCTTGCCTGCTATACAAATTATATTTTCCAGCCTTTCACTTCTTACAATGTATTTAGAGTACCTTTCCTTGTATAGTAGTTTTAAAATATTTAAATGTTCAAATATGTCAACTTTTCCCTCACAGCTTTAAAAGCACTATTACAGATCATTTATACGTATGTGT